CGGGATGGGAAGCATACCTCCCAGAGACTTTCCAAATCTTGTCCCATACAGTTTTGGAACTGGTGGTAGAATAGGTGCTTGTAGTGAATTTTCTTTTGGCACAGACATCGAACCTGCCGAGCATGGGCACAGGCCTGCTGATAAACAATGCGGTTAGAAAGAGAGGGATACCATTGGAAGGTATCCCAGGCCCGTTTTTGAGCTTTCCGTGCCTTCTGGCAGGCAGGACTCCATCATATACGAGGATACCGTGGAAAACGTGTCGAGGTCTTAGGAATAAAATGAGCTGCCGCCTGGACAATACAGTCAGTTACTGCAAACACACAATCGTCTATTGATGGCAGACAGACAAAGGCAGGATCAAGTTCAGAGAGAGGTGAAAGATGGCCAGTTAGCCTGATCCAGCTTCCACTGTGGTACTCAGGTGGCATCGACCATGGCAAACCTCTCTCATAATGATAGGAAAATGATCACTGCCCCATGGGTCACAGTTGACCATCCAAGAAAAGCAAGTGAAAAGTGAAGGGGAGCAAATCGAGAGATCAATGGCAATAAAAAACTGACTAGGTGCATGAAAATAAGTATATGTACCAGTACTGAAGAGAGAAAGGTTGTGATCTGAGAGCATACGCTCTATGGAACGACCCCTCCCATCAATATCAGCATCACCCCACAGGGGGTTGTGTCCATTAAAGTCTCCCAGAAGTAAAAAGGAAGATGGCAACTAGTCAACGAGAGCATCAAGGTCTGATTGATCATAAGTTTCCCCAGGAGACAGGTAGAGAGAACAAACAGTGATGGTACAACCCAAGGAAACATGGATGGCTATGGCCTCCAAGGGTATAATGAGGGCACATGCTGGTCGACAAGCAGTGCCACCCCTCTATGCACCCGCCCAGTCATTCCGGTACAGAGAAAACTGCCGAAAGGTGACTGTATCAGCAGGTTTCAGGAATGTTTCCTGCAAGGATAGACACACGGGATGATAAGAGTCAATCAAGGCCTTAATGTCATTGAGATTAGAATGAAAACCTCGACAGTTCCACTGTATCAAAGTGGCCATTGTTATGTATGTTTAGACAAACAGGGTGGGGGAACCCTTCGGTTTATGACCACGCCGTTTTTCTTTACTAGAGGGAGGTAGATCGACCTCCATGGCTCCTGCCCTTGATCGAGTGGGCAGATCTCTGTCATCAGTGTGAGAATCCAATAACTGAGGACGTGATCGATTGATTGTCCTGCTTTTAGGGGCCAAAGAAGGACCCGAACGAACACCGGAGGCTGGTGACCGAGGAGGTTGACCCAAGCAGTCACTGGAAGGAATAGTGGGGACAGAGATTGGAGTTGATGTAGACCTCTCAACTCTATTAACCATGGAGGGGAGAAGACCTCTCATATGGTGTGAAAAAAAGACTCAGATGGAGGCATAGAAAGGTCCGTCTCCACTCCC